AATGAAGCACAAGTAACCAGATATTTAGAACATAAGATTAAACAATATAAATTACAAGACATGAAAGCAGAGAGAGAGATAGACAACAAACAATATATTGATGTCAAATGGTTATTTGACAGGCTTAATACCAGATGTAATAAATGCAGTTCAGATTTTGACATAGAAATAAATAATGGAGTAATAAATAGCAATATGACAGCCCAACGCAAATGCAACGATTATGCCCATCATAAGGAAAACTGTATATCTTACTGTTTAAACTGTAATCGCCGGGAAAAATAATATCTATCTTATTTTATATGGCATCTAAGCAAGATATTATTAATAATGTTTATTATGATAAGGGAGGCTTTGGAAGTAAAGCCACCACACTTAAGGACAGTAGGGTAAAGGATAAAAGCATAACAATGGCAGATATTGAAGAATTCTTTAAAAATAATGTTGAACAAAAAACTAAAATGAGAGGATATAACAGTTTTATTCCGAAAGAACCATACTGGGAATATCAAATGGACTTATTCTTTTTCAGTGACTTAGACAATCAAAAAGTTAAAGTTGCTTTTTTGTTTATTGATGCTTTTACAAAATACGCAGTTGTGATACCTATCAAATCTAAACAGCCTGAAGATGTAGCACATGGAATAGTAGAAGGACTGCACAAAATGGGAAGGACGCCCAAGATGGTTTACGCAGATACAGAAGGTTCATTTACATCTAACATTATTCAAGACTATTTTAAGAAAGAAGGCATTGAATTATATTTAACAAGAGGTCATGCTCCAATGGCTGAACGATTTGTGCGCACGTACAAACAAATGCTGTATAAGCGGATTGAACACGATGAGAAAAAAGGAAAAGACAATATACAATGGACAGATTATAACTTTGAAGTATTACTTACTTATAATAATAAAATGGTTCATTCTACAACTGGACACACGCCCCAGGAAGCAAGACAACCCAAAAATCACTTGACCGTAGGGCTCAACATTGCAACTCATGCAAGCATGACCAGAAAATATCCTGAGTTGAAAACCTCAGATGAAGTCAAAATAGCAAGGAAGAAAGGAATAACAGAAAAGGAACGCACAAGCCATTGGACTAAACAAACCTACAAAATAGCAAAGATTGAAAAGAAGTTAGGACAGGAATATTATTATATTGAAAATTATGACAGGGCATTTTTGAGACATGAGTTATTAAAGGTATAAATTTATTTCTTGGAAAAAAGTATTTAAAGAAATAAAAACTATATATATTATAATAGAAATGGTTGAATTTACAGAGAAAGAGCAAGAAGAGATTATTAATAAATTCTTGGATGACTTAAACAAAAATGAAACAGAAAAGATTCTCAAACACGAACTATCCAAACATAATTACAATTCATCACTATTACTTTATTTGAAGTTGCCATTCAATGCCATTAGGTTAATCAAAGAATATGGAGAACGTAAATGCAAATGCGATAACTGCATTCATTTGAACCAGACAATTGACCACGCGAATAGATATTTTAGTGGTGTCTCTACAGTATACTATTTTAATGAGTTATATAAATTCCCAAAGGAAGAAGAATTAAAGCTACAGTTTAATTTGGCACCAAGCAGGTTTAAGAAATACAGATCTGGATTTAACAGTCGTTTACATGACCCTACGCGTTTAAACCATTTTGTACCATCAAGTAAACTGAAAGAATTTAATGACATACTAAAATACATTCATGAACATAATTTTACCAAATATGAACATATCAAATTAAATTATTATCCTGAAATTAACCTATAACCATACTATAATAATAACATGTAAAATATTATATGTTATAATTATATTTCAATATTTAATTTTATTTCTTGTAAAAAAGTATTTAAATAAATAACAACTATATATATTATAATAGAAATGGTGGAAACCGAAATCAATAATTATATCAATAAGAAATGCTACGATTGTTGCCACTTTAAAAAAGAAAATATGGAATTATATAAATTGAATTTACCTAATGGAATAGTTAATAGTATTATTGATTATTCTTTGGACGAAGAAAATATATGTAGAACTTGTAGAAGATGGAGACGATATCAAAATATAATAGAAAATTGTTTGGCGTTTAAAAATATAGATGAAAGAAATGTTGAAGATGAAATATTGATATTTTTAACTGTGTATGAAAGACCACCTTACGATTATGTTAAACAGTTTCTTAAAATCAGTAAGAAAAAGTGTGAAATGATTAATGACATATTATGGATGTTGATTTATTATAGTAAACCCGGCGTTGATGTAAAAAAAGTCATAAAATCATATATTGAAAGCAAAAAGTTTAATGTGAAAAATACAGTGAGAGATATTAATCTTATTTTTAAAATGATGTATGAAAGAAGTAACACATATCAATCAAATAGTTATCCTGAACTGAAATTATAATCATAATATAATAATAACATGTAAAATATTATATGTTATAATTATATTTCAATATGTAATTTTATTTCTTGTAAACAAGTATTTAAAGAAATAAAAATAATATATATTATAATAGAAATGTTATTTAATTATTCAAAGTGCGAATGTTGTACAACTAAAAGGAATGATGTTAATACAACATTGTATAAGTTATTACCTGCTAATCTATGTAATAAAATAAGTGAATATGATGTATATTGTAATCAATGCTGTATAACAAGAGACCTTGAAAAGTTTTTTGTTGAAGAACATAAGGATAAGGGATATACAAAGTTTCAATTACAATTGCAATTCTTTATGAAATATCAAAAACGATGTCCTGTATGTTTTTACCATAAAATTGCTAGAAAGTCATTTGAAAAAGAAATTAATGAGTTCTTTAATAATAAAGATTTAATTAAGAGGTTTGGAGGGACAAACGCAATTAAACCATATAAAGCATTTGTTAAAAAATTTCGACGCATGTTTGATGCGATTGATTGGCATTTATTAAGTAAAGATAAAATAAACGAGGTCTTGAATGAATTTAGAATAACTAAATATCATGTATGGTCTTACTACAACACTAAATATCAAGTATGGCTACTAGTTAATTTGTTTTTCTGGGAATATATTTATTCAATAATAGGAAAAGACAATATCAAATATATAGACATTGGTGATATTGATAAATATGTAGATTACATATTTGAAGACATTTTTCCTGACTATAAATGTAACCCATAATTATTAATCATACTATAATAATAACATTTATACCCTTATATGTTATAATTATAATGTAAGTATAGCGTTTTATATATTGAAGATAAAATCCTACAAGGCGGGCCACGCCCAAACAAATATATGATGAAACTGATGAAACAAAGGAGGAGAGTGATGTTGTTGCTGTTCTATTTTTTGTCCGGGAAATGGACAAATCGTTTTTAGACAGTTCGAATATTTTTTTGATGACAAATATTGCAATATATTTTGCAAAATTTCTTTTTTTGAAATGGATGAGGTGAGGAGATTGAGGAAATGACATTTTGAGGGTATATGATGAAATGAATGAGGCGAGGAGAAAGGAGAAAAGGATGGCGAAAATTTTGGAAAAATGATGATAAAAAAACGGATGAGATGGACAGAAAGGAATGTAGAAAAATGATGAAAACAAATAAGGGTAGAAGATGGAAGATGAAAAAAAATGTAGGGGGGGGTGTATGTATGAAAGCAATTTATTGCTAGGCAAGGCCCTCCTACTCTCCCCCCCCCCCCCCGGCGCAAAACCGGGATGCTTCGGTTCTCGGGTTGTCAAGTTCATGGACTCAATTTGGCGCCCACCCCCCAAATACAAAATGGCGCCAGGTAAGTGTCTCAAAAAGCCATCTTTGACAAGCCTCCGGCAAGACGCACATGGCCAAAGCCTCGCTGATGCCCATAAGATCCCCCAGCCAAAACCAATGCATGCTGCAAAAACCATGCCTGCTACTTGACAGACTTGACTTGTGCCTTAGTTGAATTAGGCAAGTCTAATCGTTGCCAGGTGAAGGTTTGCCACCAATGATGCAAATGACATCGTTCGGCATCGGCTCGTGGAATCCGACTCCTTCTTCGGGCTAGTCCAATTGAATGGCTGCGCAAAATACATTCTGGCCAACACAACCAATCATAAAAAGAAACGAGCTTGCTTAGCCGCACGTCTTTTTGTTTGCCTGAACACGGGCATTCTCCAAAAAAAAAACACCGTTGGCAGATTGCATTCCCCACCGCCCTCCCATCCTACCCGACTCTCCCCCCCCGACCCTTCCTTTTCCGCTGGCTCGCTCTGGCTCCCGCGCTCCCAGGCGCGAGTGCGGCGCGCCGGCGGGCAGCCGTGCCGACCTGGTGGAGCCCTTCTTCAGGAACCGCCATCCGACTCTATCCCTCCATTGGTTCATGTCCTTTGTTTGGGTTGGCGGGGCAAAAAGAAAACTCGAAAGCTTGGCTCCTGTCCTCGTTTCCCATGCAGCCACAGCCAGCCCAGGTTGAGGAAACCAACATCAACACCACTCTGAGGCGTACCTGCGAGGCAAAGTTATGGAAGTGCACGGGTTGCTGCTGTGTCTGCCAAGTTCCACGGCTGATTCCCTGAACAAGTCGAGGACGGGGACAAGGGAAACCCGCAAATATCAGCCATGCGCTTGGCTTACCAAGATTTAGGGGGAATTCTCCAAGTCGGTTGTCCAGTGGTTGGGGTTCAAGCGCACGTCTGCAAGGAGCCTGGTGAAGACCAGCTGATCTACGCACTGAAAAGAAGACCAAAGAGGACTAAAAGGAAGATCTTTGGAGGGGTCCAACTCATTTTTAGCCATGGGCTGGTCTCAAATCAGCTCACCCCTGTTCTGAATAGCTCTCAAGGCAAAGCAAAAAAAGAACAAACAAACCATCTGAAGTCAGATGCCCTGCTCTTAAAACCCTCCAACAAACCTCCACAGTAGTCCCCGCGTCCCCAACCGCCCCAATCGTCCCGGTCGTCCGCCGAACATCGAAGCCCGTCCGAAAGCGCCTCAGCAGCCCAGGGACCGCAGGCGGGGGCGCTGGAAGACCAGCACCGTGGACTGGAGCCACGGCAGCGTGGCCAAGGCCCTGAGCTCCGCGGTGGCCGCCCGCAGGCCTCGCCGCCGGAAGACGGGCGCGTTTTTTGGGCCGGGGGGGAGGGGGGCTGGGGGAATCGTGGGGGAGGAATTGGGGGGGGGGGGTTCGGAATCCGGGCCAAAACAAATAAGGAAGGGGGGGGGACGGCTGAAACATCCGGCTTGGGTTGGGTTGGAGAAAAGAACCCAAAGCAGCACAGATGCTATTCTTTTGAAGGGTTTCACAACTTGGTTTCCAGTGCCACAAACGCTCGACGATGCAGCTAGAACTGGCACTCCTGAACCACCTTCCACACAAGGCATCAAACGCAGAGCCTTTCATGGGTATGCCGATTGCATGCATTAGGTGATTTCACCGAATCCAACTGTGAATTTATTGATATAGGCCATTTCCACGCTTATGTGGATAGGATTGCTTGATGTGTTAAGGTCGAAAAAGGCGGCTTAGACGAGCCGTGCTTGCACCGATACCACCAATCTTTCCATTCTCCAGTCGTGGGGGCACAGCCACCCCCGTTACCAAGCTCTCCATGCTGCCCTCCTCCTCCATTTCACTCGGCGCCAGCGTCGAGCTTCCCTGTTTCTCCATCGCCACCACCACCCTTAAAAAGGGGAGCTCAAGTGTTGGAGCTGATAAGTCTTATACGCCAGGGCTTTACAACACTGAAAGGGAGCCCGACCAAAACGGAACAAAGGAAGGCAAAGGAGCCATCTTAGCATACAATTCACCAACCGGAAGACGGACAGTCGAATGCTTCCCGGGGGTCTTCCTGAAGCTGCCCAGAAACATGTGAACCACAGTCAAACTGATTTGTTCCCTATGGGAAAATTAGGGAACCTTTCGTTTTTTGTTGGACATTCGAGACCATGGGCATCTGACCGTGCACGGAGGATCCCAACCCCCACCAAATCCTCACCTGCTTCCCACAAAGCTTGGCAGTACGGGCGCTTTCACCATAGTGCTACCACGGCACACACCTGTGTGTGTGTGTGTCTTTTGTCCGAGGGTGCCTGTTTTTGTTGGGTTGGTTTTCTTGGAAAACCAAGGGACTAAACGCGTTTTGTGGGGTTGCCCTTGAAAAACAAAAAGGACTCACAACAACCGCTGGTCTCGCCAGGCCCCGCAAAGGCGCTGGCTCTGAAAGCCGTAGTTTGCCAGCATGGCCTCCACCTGAGAAGCACCGGTTAAGCAACCAGAACGAATTTGGACCCCCTTAAAAAAAGGAAACCAGGAGGGCTTGGTTTTGAACTAGCAAGACTCTGGGTTTCTGCAAAGGTTCGGGTTTGGGGAAAATTGAACTAGCAAAACCAGGAGGGCTTGGTTTGGGTTTGGGGAAAAATTGAACTAGCAAGACTCTGGGTTTCTGCAAAAGGAACCTAAAATGCTGCTGGCTGAACAAGATTGGGGTAAATTTGATTGAGCCAGGGGGGTGGCCCAACTCGGGTTTGTTTGGGTTGGTTGGGTTCCCCAAAATATATGGCCCTTACCTTGGGATGAGGGAGGGTTAGGTGCAGGTCAGCTATTGGGGGGCCAAGCACCCTCCTGGATTTGCGGAAGTGAG